CCCCCCCCGCCTTGGATTTGCTCTTTTCCTCTGGCCTTGGCAAGGAAGCTTGTCTGCAGTCTTTCAGTATACATAGGCTGGCATAGTTCTGAGAAGGAGGGGTCAGCCTTCCCATCTGTAATCACTGTTTTATGGCTTTCACTCGAGGTGTTAATGCAGATCAAATGGGAAACACTCCAGCAAGAGTGTTACAGCTTCTCATGCTGCCCTGCGTAAGGTCCCAATCGTTAATTCTGATTATAAGACCTAAAGGTAATTCTGTTTGCTCTCCTAATGCATTGCAGCTCTCCCGGTGGTCCAGCATCCCTTTTCTCCAATTCCCATCTTGATCAATTGTTTGCAAATAATTAAGCTTTTAAGAGATAATGGTAGGAGCTAATGCACACAACAAAGTAAAGGTCTCAAGTCACTGTTTATTGAACAGTGGTACAGTTTGCTTTGATATCCCAAAGTGATCCAGAGTGATAGGTGGACTTGCCAGCTGGAGTCAGTGTAGTGTTTCTAGGTGCGCTTCCATGTATATTTCTATATCAATATATTAATATATTTCATAGAATATCTCAAGCTGGAAGGGACCCATAAGGATGACAAAGTTAAACCTCCTGCTCCTCATGGACTACCTAAAACTAAACCATTTGACTAACCTATATATAAATATGTATTTATATATATTTTATACCTATGCACGCAAATGTCATATACATACATAGGCAAAAATACAGACACATCTCTCTGTGCATGTGTCTTTATCCCTTTAAACAAACATGAGAAAGCTTTGGATGGTACCTGTCATTCTCACAGGGGTGAAATAAAGACCAAAAGACTTTTGACTGAATTTCCTATTTCTTCATAAGATGGCAGTTCTCAGGGTTTCCCCCTTTCTCTCCATTGCAATGTGATGTCTTGCCTTTGCCTGTAGCACAGGCCTTCCTAGCCCTGTGGGTGGGAATGCAACAAGGCTTTGAATGTTTTTATAGCAACCTACCCTGTGGCATGCTGATTCTTTGTCAAGCCATTTTTATTCTTTTTTTTTAATTCTTTTTTTTTTTTTAGCCTACAAAGGAACAACCCGTACGATCCACAGAAGGCTTATATAATAAGGATGCCCAATGTTTAAGATTATTTTAAACCACACCGGATCCTAGTTAAAAAGCCTGCCGCATTATGAACCTTTAGCTAAGAGGGATTAACTACATGAAGTCCTGGGCTGTCATGTGAATATGGCAATTACAGATTTATCACAAAATTAAAAGTTTATGCTGTGCTAGGATGCGGAAAAAAAATAAATCAGATGACCATAAATATACCATAATTTGAGGAATTTGGGCTTTGGGACTTTTAAAGCAATTATTTTTACAGTGACTGTATTATTCTGAAGGCTAATTTTATCCAGTCTTGTCTATTCGGAAAAAAAGTCCAGAACAATTGGATACTGCTTAATGGAGACAGAGTTCTCAATTCCAATAGCTAGAGGCTGTCTGGTAATTATTGCTTGCTGCATGAAATTAGACACAGTTTGTTCAATTACTTAAAATTAGATCACATGTAAGGTGGCAACGTAAAATAAGAAAAAAAAAGAAGAATAATTTTATCCTCGCTTGATAGAAAAGTAATGAAATGGGAAGTTATAAAGATGAAAACATTACAAATCATCTCTGTTGGGTTTTTTTTTAAGAGAAGCAAAATGTTATGTTCAGATAGACGGACGTAAGTCAAGTACAACTGTTTGTTGTGGCTGAACATGTATATAAGGTGGATGATAAAATTCATACTATATTTTTGCTTGTGTAAAATGCAAATTACCCATAAAGAAGAAGAAAAATCCCTTTCCCTGTGTTTCCCAGTTCACAATTCTGGAGCTGTTTCATGTACATGCAGAAAATACAGGGGGTGGTTTAGAGGTGTGCAGATTATCTGTGGGCTTACTATCAAGCAATAGTATTTTTAACATAATGGAAAGTTACCCTTCCATTTTTGGGGAAAAAATCCCGTACCTTTTGGATACAATGGGCTTTGAAATGGGCACGTCAGGCAAAGGGAAGTCGTTGGGCAAAGGGAAGTAGCTGAAGTTAAAACAAAAATCCCTGTTTAGTAAAATGAGGTGATGCAGTCATGTGACATAGCCTTTAGATGTCAAATTATGCTGTTTACAAGAACATATAAAAACTGCTAAATAGTTACGATACCAGTAAGATTGTGGAATTTTACGAGGTTTTAAATTCTTATGCTTTACAAGGTTTCAGTTTACATCTCCTGTAATATTATGCCAAAGAATACATCCAAAGAATATAGGAGTGTTTCAGGGGAAAAAAAAAAAAGGGGGGGATATATATGTATAGCAACAAATACTTAGTGAAAACCAACTGCTAAATGGGACATTGGGATAGGTCTAACCAGTTACAGCAAATTCTCTTTATTGGAATGTTGTTAAGTACCTTGCAGCTGACCAGGTCTTAATCTGATGAGTACTGGGACTTGGGTGTCCAGGTTAGGGGCTAAGCCAGATACTCAGCATGGGGTTTCTCCTAGGAATTGTTATGTTTGCAATGTTTGGCCATTTCCTTTGGGGACGGTGACATTTTTACATGGAGGAAAAGGACAGAAATGATACTGCTAATATAATTTCCAAATTTCAAACTTGGATGTGGTTTTTGGTGTTGATTTATTAAACAATCTGTACTTGTGCAGAGGTGAATTTTCTCAAAAAGCAATCAAGTTCTCACAAGAAACTTAACTTATGATTGAATTTTTACATTATCTTCAATTAAACCAGTATTTATTTTCTGTCTCTTAGGATTAGTGCAGCACAGCTATGTTAATGTCAGGCAAAAATGTGCTGATCACTGACCTTGCGCTGGCCTGTGTTCAAAACCCAGGCGTTTGTTTATGTTCAGGATGCTGATCTTATTTGCAAATTATTTTGGGGCACTGGCAAGATTTGTCTTCACTATCTCAGAAAAACATCAGAGTGTTTTAGTTTTACAGAGAAGTGCTTTATTGCTTGCTTTATTGTTCTGTGAAATACAGAAAGAAAAAGGGGTGGTTTTGCTCTGATCGGTCATTCGAGACATGTGCAAAAACTTACAGCTAATGCAACAAATATCCTTCTTGAGTATCAAGGCACTGCCAGTATCCTAAGCAGTTATTTCTCCACTTCACTAATCTTTATAATTGGCTTGTCTTTTACTGCCATTAATTAAGTGATGTAGTAGCCCATTAATAATTATAAAAAAGTGACACACCTCAGCATTTTCACCTTTCAGTAATAGATGTCACACTACTGTGTCTTTTTTAAATGTTTTTTTTGGTGGTTGTTGTTTAAAATTTAAAATAAAAAGTTGGCAAAAAAAAAAAAGAGCATTGTTTTAAATGTATTTATTTTTGTGTCTTCTAGCACCCTTACCCTTCAGAAGAACAGAAAAAGCAATTGGCACAAGACACAGGGCTCACTATACTTCAAGTGAACAATTGGTAAGTAATTTTCTTTAGTGTTTCTGTATGGCCACTGGCACCTTCTGGCTAATGCTTTGAGGACATAATTTTTGAGGACACACCTTTCCCTTGTTTGCTCCCCCCTTCCAGCAGTTTTTGATGCAAAAGTGATATATTTGGGCAAATTATTTCAGTTGTGGGAATTACGAGGTTTGCTGTTGCAGAAAACAAGCAGTATTTATTTTTGTCATTGTGTTGTCCGTGGGACTGTTTTAGGTGTATTTGCTTATGGGTCCTGATTCTAACTGATGATGTGTCCTCTTCAATAAGAAGCCACATTCATTTTAAGAACTTTGTTCTTGGAAGAAGTTGAGATGTTTGGGTGAAAAAAAGGGGCAATTGGTCCTTTTTCTTCAGAGCATATTTTTATTTTGGGATGCTGCAATCCTTTTTTTAATGTTGTTAGTGGTTTTCTTCTTTTTAACTGACATCCTATCTCTTTTCCACTTTGTTTAAAAAGTCCAGTTTTTGAAAGCTTGAATAAACTTGGGGGACAATCTGGCTCTTTGTTGTGGAAGTGTGGTGTGGAGCAACTTCATTTAGTTATTCCAGCTAGGTATTGATGGAATCCCTTATCTGTTGTAGTAGTGATTTGTTGAAGATTAGGATCCATGCTATTTCTTCAGTGGATTTGGGGTTGCTAACTGTTGAGGATGTGGTGAAGGCAGCTAGTGAAAATTACTCATGATTTAAGTATAAAACAAAACAGCAAACCCTTGAAAGAAAATGTTTGATTTATTACCCTTTGTTACTGCATTGAAATGCAGGTTTCTCCCACTATCCCAGAACAAGTGTCATATTTGAAGTGTATTGCAATCTAATACCTTGTAAAACTGAGTGTATCTAATTAATTGTCCCAATATTTTTAGATTAGTGTTTATGATGGGAAACCTTATCCTCTTTGAAGTAATACCCAGAAAATGGCCAAGGCAAACGGCAAGCCTGCTGGGGAGAAGGGAGGGAGCAATGCCAGTTTGCAGACAAAAGTGTTTTCTTTTCTGTTCAATAAGTGTCAGAGATTAATATTACTGAAGCTCTGATTACATGACCTAATCCATTTTAGTGAATAAATTCAGTCTTGATGTCCATTGCACCTACATTAACAAACCCTTCTCTCTCAGAGAAAGTAGGAGCCTATGGGAGAGATTGCAGATATATTAAACCCCATTACTGAAAATGTAATTTCTGTCAATATAATCCCGTGTATTCTTCAATTTAGTACCTTAGAGATAACAAGCTACTTACAATATATTTGCCTTTGGAGGATTAATTTACAAAGTGCACTATCTGGGAGACGCAGGCAGGCTCACATAAGCATAGCTTGTAAGGGTTATCAATTTCTGTGACCCCACAGCAGCCCTGGGAGATCAATTCTTTGAAGCCCTTTAAGACACTGAATAAAGGAAAATGCCAAATACTTAGTATATTTAAAGTACGCCTCCAAGTTACTTACTTTAAAATGGAGGAATAAAGGGCATTAAACATAAAATACATGTTATATGCAGACATAACCTGTGATATTTTGGCTCAGCCTGGAAAAAGTAGTGTTTGCTTCAGCTTTACATCCTCCAACCTTCATCCAGGAGATACCCTAATTTATATGGTTTTCCTTCAGTTTCATGAGAGGTGTTTTGGCCACTTGAAGATGTGTGTGTGTTCGTCAGGTGTCTTACTTAATGATGGGATGGAGCAAGAGTCTGCTGCTTTGGAGGGGTCCAGGAGTGTAGGATTTGACATGGGCAGCAATGTCCATTTATGATGGTTCATCAAAGAATTTTTTTGAGATGATGAACATAGGAGGCTTTGAACTAAAGCTGCTGGAATTTCTCCTGAGGGACTTTCCGGGGTGTTTTTCAGTCTTGGGTTTGAGGAGTTTTTACTTTGGCTTGTTGTTAGATGTGTTTTTATAAGTTCCTTATGTGCAAGGGGAGAAAAAAAAGGGAAAAAGTAGGTCAAAATACATTATAACTGAAGTCTTGTGGATGTAGGGCAGGCTTCCTCTGCTTGAGCTAGTTTGCTAATTCTGCTTTGGTGTTACAATTGTATAAATTATTGAGACAATTCCCCTTCCTTCTCCAGCCCCATGAAGATTTAACGCTATAAAGTCAGTCGGGATTTTCTTAAATCACAGGTGGTGGGCAGAGATGCCAAAAAAAAGTAATTCAGCCCCTTTTTTTTTGCAATGGGTGCTAAGGAACAAAGAGGCTGTGAGGCTGGGGCTAAGCTTGCAGATTGCACAGACACACATGTACATCCTCAGGAAACATCCAGCCATGGGGTAACCAACAAACTGCTCATCCCCTCCCAAACCCTGGAGGGTATGGGGCAACCCTCTTCCAACCTTCTCCTAAATAACTTTTCTTCTAGGGCAATATGCAGGAGAAGACATTCTTTTTTCCTAAATTGTTTGCTTTAGGGAGGAACTAATGTATTGTTTCTGCTTGGCTTTGCCTTTCTTCAGCAGGCTCATAAGTCATTCAGCCACAACTTGCAAAAAATTTTGCCTTCCTTCTTAGATTCTTCCAAACTTGTTAACACACATGTACATTTTTGTATTAATGATGAGTCATTGTAAATCACTGTTGCAGAGATTAAATAAAATGCTGAAGGGCAGGCTGGGTGCAGATCAGTCATAAATTATTGGCAGCAACACAGCATGTGGGAATACATGAAATGTGCATGAAAAACATAAACTCATGTCTCATAGCATGGTCGTTAGCCCAGACTGGGAATGCTGGCTTCTCTGGATGGAATTAGAAGTTTGCCACAGAGCAGGCAGTGAAGAGAGCATTTGTTTCCTCCAGATTGAAAGTATTTAAGCAATTTATTTTTTTTTTGTCATATTTTGAATGCCTTTACAGTATGTGCTAGTTGCATACTTAAGTTCTCTGCTGTAATGAAAAAAAAAAGGTGTTTTTCACATATGGTCTGCCCGGTGTTCGGGCTCCCTAGGTTGATGCACACAACTCCTATTGATGGTGGAGAGTCACAGGAACGGGGTGATTATGTGAGACATGCCAGAAAATTAGGGGTAGGGCACATGTCTTGGAAAATTCAAGTTTTACCCTGACCCTTTTGCTTGGGTTGTTTTATTTTTTATTTAAATTTAAATATTTTATTTAAATGTAATCCTCAACTCAGAAGATTTTTCCACACATGGCGATTTTCCTTGTGAATCACTGGCATTGCCCTTTAGGACCATCTTTTTTCCACAATTGGATGTTTCTATTGTGGGAAGAAGGAGCAAAGAAAAACCACCAAAAACCAAACAAAAAAAACTATAGCAGGTAGGAAAGTAGAAGAGTTCAAGATGATGTTAGTCTAAGGGAACTCTCCAGGCCGCCGTCTTTTTAGTTGTTTAACCCTGCAGTGGGTTGAGGGTTGGAAATAAGGATGATTTGAACTAGAAAGGGAACTTGTATGATCTTGACAGCATGATGTAGATGGACATGGAGGGGACCTGACCAAGTCCAGATTAATACGGTGCTTTTCCCCAGTGATAAAACTTGCGGTTGAAATACCCAGGAGGTGTGATCCAATAATTTCTTACCTCAGCTGAGAGCCAGCCAGACTATATTGAACAATCTATACAGTTTTCTTGTTTAGTATATTCCAGCTGAATCTCTTCCTGTTAAAAACTAATGGTAAATAATTACTGGTGGTAACCTATGGAGAAAAGAGAACAATTCTCATCAAGGGCTGCATTTGGTGTCGAACACTTGATTATGTTTTAGGTACACACAGATAAATGCGTATTTGCAGAATAATGTGCCTATGTAACCTGTTTGTGCATGCCTGTTTGTGACTATCTCTCTACACAGAGATGAATACAACTGCATTAAAATTATCTTTAAAAAAGAATTGCTTGAAAATTCAAATTCTTAAAGCTCCAGCATTTTTTTAAGTGTTTCCATTCTGTTTTTTTCTAAAATACCCTTGTACTATCTGAGGCACAGACTAGACAATGATGGAGCAGCTAGTCAATATTTTATCCTACCCTCATTCTTCAGTGCTTCATTTGTTGAGCTGTATTCAAATCGTGCTTGAAAATGGAATTAATAATTACTGCTGGGCTTTCCTATGGTGTTTACTGCTGTAATACCCAAGTCCTCCCCTGACCTTCGCTTGCCTATATATGCATACAGGGTTGTAGGTCTTCATGGTATTCTTGCAGCTCCCCTCAAAGAGAAAGAATAGTGTTGTCTCAGTTCACAGCTGAAGAAGTGAGGCTCAGAGAGATCCAGGCCCAGCACACCCACTGATTTTGGGTTAGTCTGGGAGCTGTGAGAAGACTCAAAATGACAGCAAGTTATCCTCATTGAAGGTCAAATGACTACTGAGTTCAGTGGAAACTCAAAAATTTTATTGCCTCCAGATGTGGTGGTGTTAGGTCATAGGCTGGACTTGATGATCTTAAAGGTGTTTTCCAGCCTTGATGATTCTGTGATTCTGTGATCTTACATTACCAAGCTCCAGTGCTGGGCATAGAGGAGAGACACAAGAAGTTTGTTTTTAATGCTTTCCTCAGCAACTCCCAAGTAGTCAAAGGCAGAGCTGAAAATCCCCTTCTCCAGTGCAGTGTTCAGCTGCGTCAGCAAACACTGCTTTGCCTTTCTTGCTGTTTACTTCCTTACTTGTTCAACTTAGACAAAGTTTATTTCTTGTAGAAATTAATTTTTCGACACTATAGTGCTTGTTCTTAGAATAAATATAACCATTGTTGGGGTGGTTGAGGTGTTGGGCCCTGTCAAAAATTGTACAGTGAGTAGGTAACCGGACTGCCTGCATGTAGAGTAGATTAAAGAATAGGGTGCAAGCAGCTCTAGTAATACGGTTTCCTAACTCTGAAGTTCTTAATTTTATAGCCTTATCTTCTTTAAATGTCAGTTTTGCGTATAATTTCCTAGGCTTGCAAAAAACCCCAAAGAAACCACAAAACTCTTAGAGCCCCCAAGGCCCCCCCAAAAAAACAAAGAAAA